TGTGCAATCATTTGTAGTTACCAAATTTGAGGAAAAATACCTGAGTTTTTTAAAATAAATTAACAAGTTAGAACAAAAAGGTGCAACCATCGGCCGAGTGATAAACTATGATACTCAAATTGCCTTTTTGCATCTGTCCCAAGATTCCCGCCACATCAAATTACAGCAGTCGAAAGGAAAACGATGAAAATTGCTTAACAATATAGAAATGCCATTAAACCAATCAGCTGTAAAGTGAATTAGACAAAAGTTGTTCGTGTGGAAAGCGCACAGAATCAGAGCCATATATGCGATTGGAATCTATATTCAGATCACGACCGCATTTTGAACATACTATAGTCTTGCCCGATCTCTCTAAATCTCAATCTCCGCATCCGTGCGACTTACAGATTGTATCCGATTGCTGCGACCGCAACGAAATAAAACGCTAAAAAAAAACCCAGCTAATTAATGTGATAATGCTGCAAATCATCAAATTCGGACGACCAAGCGCGATGTGGAGCCCTTTGGAGCGCCTCGAACTAGACGCAGGGAATCGACAGTGCCTCGAGAGATTACAGCAGCCGGCGGAAAGATCCACCGATAAGAGCTTAATCCCAAAGGTCAGTCGGCGTTATCAGTCCGCGGCCATCCCCTCATTCCTGTCCATTGGAATCGCGGTGACTATCTGCCTCGGATCTGCCTTCGGTGCTCCGCAATCCTCCTGCATCATGTGCGATAAGGAGGACCTGCGACCACGAGTTCCGCCCTACAGCGACAGCTACGAGGAGTACACCTTCGACCACCAGGTGACCCAGCAAGCTGCCCTGGAGTCCATTCAGAAATTTAATGGGTGTAAGTAGCTCTGCATTACTATTCGAGAAATACGCGACACACGAAAAGATAGCATCGTAGAATTCGCTTATTAGCTTATTAAATTGCAGTATTTTGCTTTTAAGTATTATTAATGAAGAATATGAATATGCACGACTGCAGTGACCTCTCTTTCCTTAAAGAATGTGGTAAAAAGAAATCGAACTCAGACTCGCAAAGATTTGTAAATATACATGAGCACTTCCTAGTATATTTAAATTTCCTCAGAAAACGGAATGTATACCGAAGTACAAATTGTTTGACTTACTGGAACTGAATCATGTTTCTGTCTTTACAGCAAGAGGTCAGAACAATGCCTGCAGTTCCATCAAGTGCCCGCCGAATACACCAAAGTATTGCCTAGGAGGTCAGGTAAATATGGATGAGCTGCGATCATTGGGCTCATTGGAGATCAGAGTTCAGTTGCTACTCTAACTTGTAGTCCGATCAGCTCAAGGCTGATAACTGAATATAAGTGAATGACAAGCAAGTGAATTGTGCAATATTTTCATTGTAGTTTATCAACGACCATTGCTGGTGTGAGCTGCAACACAGAGAAGGTAAGACATCATTCCCTCAGAATATCTTTAATCATTAGTGGTGGATTTGCCTTTAAGTACAAAAGTCAGTAAATTAAAAGCTCAAAAGTTCTGATACCTATTACCTGGCTTGATATTTATGACTTGCGCATGAGTCTCCGCAGATGGCGCCAAGAAATAATAAACAAAAAGTATCTGCAGCATCAGTCTCCCACAGTAAACACACGAGATGGAGACGTGCCACTAACCCACTTGCAACGCAGTGGCACAGTCGACTCTCTAAAGAGCCCAATTAGCTAATTTTGGCCCTTAACAAGCCGTACTCACGCAAATTACTGGGCTTGCGACTAGGAACTGCGATGACGCAACAGTTGGCATCGCCAGCCAAGTAAAAACCACATGAATATCCCACGGATCGCAAAGGTGGCAGATACGTATTCTATGGGCTGCCCTCTTCTCCTCCACGCGGCACGTGATGCGGCACGGAAGTTGCCAAGTGTGGTCCACTGATCGAACCGCACTCTAATGCTGCGACACGCTTCATTGGCTCGACTTGCAACCTCTACAGTGAAGGCTGCCTGGAAAGAACGGGAGGTTTCGGCGCCCAAGCTCCGTATTTCACATTGATATTAAAGTCGATTTAGATTTATATTAAATGAAAACCACCAGGTACCTGAAGGTAGCAGATACATGTGTTACGCTGCTAAATTGTTCACTCTGAGCCTTTTTAAAGCAGAAGGCAGTGCATTTAAATTCGTTCTTGAAAGCGAGAACTAATTATTCGCTGAGTGACATCTACTGCACTGCGCTCACTGTGGAATTCCTCTTGTCCAAGTGCCAGTTTATAATTCCTTCAGTTGACGTTTTCGTTGGTTTAAATTTTCGACTGGTCGATGTGCATTCTGCCTTGGTGGGGAATTTTTCTGGGTTTGGCGCTTGCGTTGTCCACAGTTGAATGATTTTCCTCAAGGCGCGCGGTTTTCCATGCCTGTAGTTTTCCTTTTCGAATGCACCCGCCTTCGAATGGAAACTGTTTTGTGTGGCCACTGATTGCATTTAATTTTTTAATTTCACTTTACTTGGATTACGTGCAGTTCTTAGCCCATTAAAGTCGTTTCGACCCTAAGTGCAAATCAAATATTTAACTGCTAAACGCCAATGTAGAGGTCTACATTGAGAACTGAGTTCTTGGAAACACTATCTTGAATTGGTTCAGTATTCCAGTTCAATACCAGGTGTGTTCATATATTAATAAGATAAGTAATATCATAATCTTCTGTTTGCAATGAGCTTAACCTTCCTGTCAATTCGCAAACGCGCGAGATAACACATTTTTATATCAGCCCTAAAAACGGAGTGCAAATCCTTAAGATGCAAACCGAAATATTTATATTCACACACTCTGACTGTGTCTAAGTATCTGGCCCCTGGTGTAAATCTGACTCAACAATTCTGCAACTGACGATGATTTTTAGTATGCCATAGGCCATTTCCACTACCGGCAAAAAATCCAGTTGATAAGGAACGTGTCTGAAATAACAAGGGAAACACCTGTTCTGGCGACTGGGTGGGCGGCTATGCCAATATCGCGCGATGGCCAATTTCAGGTGCCGCTTACAGCGGCCAGTGCGAATATTTCCTCAGCTTGACGCTAGTAAATTTTACGCCTATTTCGGTGTTCTTTTTATATTGCCCCCCACAGGCACTTCCAATTAAATTTGTGGGGAATTAAGTGAGTTATGAAATTGTTGACAGACGTATGCTGAAACCATAGCTCGCTTTGAAAGTAATCGCTTTGGGTTTCCTTGATAACCACTTTTTATCAATTAATCTCACTTTGCGTTTTCTTTGGAACAATCTGTCGATTTGAGTTGTTACCCCATTGTAACTCATTGTCCTCGGCTTGTCAGTCGTCGCTAAAGATTATTTAAAATTGCCAGGGCAGTCACTGAATTGACCCAGCATATTACACGCTGTCCGTGTCTGCTTACATTAACTAATAATTTTATAATTGCATAAATATCTGCGACACGCACCATCAACACCACCAACTAGCTATTCTCTGTGCGAGCTTTTCTATTCCATGTTCCCGAAATGTAGACATGGAACTTCATAAAATTCAAGACGTTGAGTTGTGTAAACAAATGAGCATCTGTATACAGGCCAAGCGAAAAATAATACAGGCATGTGCTATGATCCGATCGAAAAACAATGCCGCTCATATTTAGTCACTCGGCACAGTTTATATTTTCCTAAACATTATTGTGGCCTTTTCGTGCGCAGCTCCTAATAAACATATTCTATTTTATTGATTTCCGTTTCTACTCAAAGCGCGAAAATTCCATAAATTGTGTATTTAAATTAAGTGGTTTCTATTATAAAAAGTTAGGCACTTGATTGGAAAATGGGGGCAACACATTGAATACTTTTAATATTGTGCTGATTTTTCCACCAAGTTCAGCTACACAATTATTGACTAATTTTGGTTTTGTGAGTGGATAAGACTGACGCTTACCCGAAATAATTTTAAAGATCAATTATTATAAGAAACTAATGTAAAAATGTAATTCATTTTCAGAGGGCCTGCCCTATGTGCCTCACGTGTGCTTCGCAGATCAGAAGGTACACACATCCTCCGTGGAATCCTGCTTCACATTCGTGCAGGTCAAGGAATGCTGCTGTGCTGAGATCTGGATCAAGAAGTGTAAGTAGTAGATCCACCAGATCCACAAATGCCAACTCCTCTGGCACTCGGGGCACCATCGCATCTGGAAGCCCAATGGCCGTGCTAAATGCCCATGCCACTCACACACGAGAAGGGATTAACAAAGCAATGCTAATTTAATAACGTAAACATACTTCTGCAATTATTCTGTTTCCACACGGCGCCTTCGATAAATATACACAAGCCAGAAATAACAGCAACAATAGCAGAGAGATCATGTCAATACCATCCGCTGGCAGAAAATCGAACTATGCTAATTATATTTAGTTGAAAATGCTAATTGAAATCACTCACACCAAATTTCTGTTGGGCGTCAAAGGAGCGCTCTAAATCATAAAAAACAACATCGATATATGGCAAGCTATAAATTTGAAAGGGCAATTAGCCTTGGTTGTATATTATCGCTGTGAGTGGTTTATACCTAGAAATTTTAGAGCAGATTCTCATAATAAACATAACACTTTGGCTAAGCTGGAGGCTCGCTCATAAATAAACATGTGAGAAGCGTAATCAACAAATAGAAACCATTTTCCACTGAATATATTACAGCTGCCTATTAATATTGTATAGCACTACTCTGCCAATGGAGCATAATTTAATCCGCACTTCTCTCCTCTTTTTCCAGGGCGACACATTTCTGGCAGCTCTCGTAGTCACCACGTGCCAAATGTATTAGTACTGCTAATATTAAACCTGCTTTCTGCATTCAGTATACTCAGCTGCGGAAGTAGAAGGCGACTATTTTATCAAAGATAAGAAATCGAGGCGAAGTCATCATGTGAAAACTGTACAACATAGTCATAGAGGAGTAGGATCTAGTCGTAAAAGCATTCAAATAAGTGTACTTAGTTCAACAAATGTCCAATGTCCAAGTGTAATCAAACTTACTAGCTAAGCATATATTTAAGCGTTAATAAATACACGTTTATAAAGCTAACAGACTTTAGTTAGCGTGTGGCTTAGATCACTAAATAATGAAGTAACTCCTTGCGTGCATTTTAAATAGGACAACATATCGAGGAACAAAATTAAAAATAGTTTATAACACGTGCTGCGCCATATATCGTTCGCTTACTGGCTAAAATCCGCCTTACACACTAAATTCGGTCCACTAAACCTCAAGTTCAGCAAGTCGGCTTAAAAGTCTATAGTCTCCACAGTGTTTATAAGCTGCTACGGCTGTTAAGCGTACGCTGCAAGGCGTTCACACAGGACAGCACGTCCTCATAGTCCTTGGACCATTCGCGCAAATTGCGTTCCAGTGTCTCCAGTCGCAGCTGCCCCAATCGCATTCCTCCGTGCTTAATGGCCGCATAGCAGGAGCACGCCAATAGCTTGAAGCATTGCCGGCGAACAGCATTGTGGGCATGGCTCTCCCAGTTGGGCGTACTAGCCACGCACTGCCAAGCCATGGATACGTAGTCCACCAGGGCGTCCCAGTGAGTGGAGTCGTGCAGACGCTTCGCCTGCGATTGCAGCACCCGCTTAAATTCGATAAGATGCATCGACGCCTTGGAGTAGGCCGCCGCATCGGTTTTCTTGCACAGCCGGGAGGTGGGAAGGGACTTGAAGATGAGCCGCTTAGCATGGTGCAGCTCCTGCTCCAAAGCGCTGAAAACAAGACACAAATGAACCATTTTTGAGTAGGAGTTTGTTTCTTTTTTGGGGCTTTCAAAGCACAACCACCACCTATTTCTGAAGAGGTTACTAAACTTAAAGTTGCTATGACCTTTTTATAACCTTTGTACCAGGATTGTCAAGTTCATTTTAGAAGTAGGATACATTGCAGCATCAACAAGAGAGTATCTAGGTTTGGCAAGCCGAATCTTATATACCCTTGCAGTACATATATATTAAAATAAAAATTTGATGTATTATATATTGTCAAAAAACGGGGCTTTTCCGAATTAGGGCACTTTGTGATCAAAAACAGCGAAGGTACATTTTTCTTATTAGCGAACTTTTGGAAAAGTTTAACGCAGATAGCTTTAAAAGAGAGAGATTTGTTTGACATGATCGCTCACTTTATATGGTTGCAAATATTCAAACCAAGTTCAATTTAAGGTGCACTTACCTTATGTCTGGCGTGGGCAGTTGCGTCCGTATCTCTCCCTCATCACTTGCACTTTTGATGTTATTCATGATCAAATCTATTAGTTGGTTCTGGGACAGACCCTGCAACAGGGATGGTAGAGTCGCATCTGTGTTCGTCTGTCCCACAGGTCTATCGTCCATTTTGAGCTTCTTTACTATTGGTGTTCCCGGCCAAAGTTGCTTGGTGGTGGCCATCTTGATGGGCGAGTAGGTATCCATCGGTGTGGGCTCTGGAGGAGTGCTGCCCATAGTCAGGCGTTTACGAGGGGAGCTGCGCAGGATCATGCCGCTGGTTAGTTGCAGGTTCTTGGTGGGCGTGCGTTGGAAAGGACTACGTATTGAGGAACCACCGGTGGCACCTCCTCCTGCGCCACCACCGCCGTTGACCTTATCCGGCGAAAACGTTGTGGTAAAACGCCGGCGACCACGCTGCCGAATGACCAGCTCATCTGGCGAGGGCAGTGGCGAGAAGACAAAGTCCTGGGCCTGCACCACGTTCACATCGTTGTCCAACCGCAGTCCCAATCCTCCGTTAGCATTCGGTGTGTTTATTATGCCCGCCGGAGTCGGCTCATCCGGAGTCCGGCGATTGGCGTTCGTCGGTGTGTTGGCCATACGCAGCGCCTCCAGGCGGTCGGGAATCTCGGCCAGCGCCATTCGTGTCTGCAGCGGGGTCGTCATTGCGATTTCGAATTGCGATGCGGACTGTTAGGAAACACAAATTGCATACGCATTAGGATTGTATTGTTTTCACGCCGCCCTGCACCTGACGTACCCTCTTGGATGCTTCGCTATATCTTCGCAGCAGACTAAACAATCTCGACGTGGGCGAATGGTAGATCTTCCTGACACTTGGATTTGTTGTGGTTTGCCTTTTAGCGACCCTCTCGCGACAGCGACTGTAACTTTTTCCTTATTTTTGTTTAAATTGCGCCAATTTGCTCAGGGTGGCAGCGCGCTCTGGAGATGGGCGCTCTGTACCGATGGTATCGCTTGTGATATGATACACACACTTAAATACCCTCTGAATAGTGGGTATTTGTGCAGTTGAAGGTCTATAGTTTCTCTTTAAGTTCAGTTTTACAAGCAGCTTAATTAAAGTTTCATAAGATTGGTCGTTTTAGTGCAGAACTGCATGTATAATGGATCTTGTTGGGAGTTAAATTAAAAATAAGTGGATTATTACATTAAACTACCTATTTATTTTTACCATATTTTTCATGTTTATTTTCAAGACATGTTTATTTACGTATACATATGTTTAAAAAGAATTTACTTGATTTTAACGATACTTAAGAACCGAGTCACTCAATAAAAATGTCTGGCAGCCCTAGAGCATGGACCACTAAGTGAACATCCGGCAACCAATTGCCTTCTTTCTATTCGAACTTCTTTTGGTTAAGGTCGTCGGCGCGCATTAAATTGTGAAAACTAAAATAAAATGGAGCTAGTTACTCTAAAATATAGCGCATGCAATGCTCAGCATACGAGGTTGTGTCTTGTGAAAACTGATACTATGATCAACATAATAAAATGAGACACATACGGGACCAACATGGTAACTTGAATGGAACGCCATTTCCACGTGGTGCAATGTGAGACACCTGGAGACTTCAAAATATTCTAAGGTAAGTTTACAACAAATATTAAACAACTCGATATGACTTTCCACATCCCAGTGCATACCATGCAAACATATTTCAAAATAGTTAAGAAATATAGTTAAAGCAAACATAAATATGGTCTTAGGTTAAATAAGGCACAATATAAGTGTGGTACATTATCAGTGGTGCGCACAAGTAGTTTTCCTGAAGAATTGAAAATCTGCAGTAGTTTAATTAAAAAGATCAAAAAGAGTTAAACACAAATAAAAAGTAGCGCAACAAAAGGGGATTGCATAGCAGGGCTTGTAAGAGCGGTGAAAGTTTAAAGTACAAATTTCGACCGTGATTAACATTTTTTATTAAGAGACTTAAGATCAATATGATCTATATCCATACTTTAGTTCTACCACTTTAAAAGGGTTTTTTTTTTCTTACTTTTTTAATACTTTTCGAAAATGTTAAAAACAGTTTAATTGCGATTTTTAAAGAAAAGTTTCAAAGTGTACAAGCATTTCCATCTGCTATTTTAAATGATGCAACAAGTCTTCTAAATTTATAAATCTAATATATTTTATTTATCTTTACAGGCATTGCAAGCAGCCTCGGATATATCCAGTTATTCCTGTATCTCCCTTAAAAGGTAATATAATGCTCCACACCATTTCAGTATAAATTATTTTATTGCCCAAATTGATGATAACTTCATACCTAAATCAGAGAAATAATGTTGAAATCTTTTTAACATGCATCACCATCTGAATAAACCACTTATATTTAGAATATGTTTAATTATATTTGTATAATTAAATAGACTTTGTATACTTTACAGGAATTTTACAAGGCAATGGAATACCTATTCGGAACTGAAATTTGATTGAACTAGTTAAAAGGTAATGTCTCACCAAATTTAACCAAATTTTGTACTTCTTAATTGATGACAACTTCATACCCAAAGCAGATAAACAATGTTGAAATCTTTTTAACATGCATCACCATCTGAATTTAAAACATTTAATTAAAATTGAAGGCAATAATGGCCATTTATTAACTACATTTTTTCTTTTTACTTACAGGCAATCTAAATTGATGATATTTTCACAAGATTTCCAAGTGATTCTGTTGAAACAACAAAAAAGGTATTGCCAATATTAAGTATACATATATTATTTATTTTAAACTACTTTTTTGATGACAACTTCATTCTCAACTCAGAGAAACTATGTTGAAATCTTTTTAACATGCATCACCATCTGAATAAAAAATATACAAATGTAGTTATAATGAACGGAATATAACTTACGAATCATGGTTTTCTTTTCGACTTTTCAGGTGTTCAACCAGGTGTCAAATCAGGATTTTTTAACAAAGTAGTTCTTTATATATAAAGTAGATTCTTTATTTATGCGTAAAAAATAAAATATTTTATCTGTCTAAATTAAATATCTTTAAAAACTGTTTAACACGCGCTCCACAACAATAACAAACAGGCAAAGATAATCTCCTTCATGTGCAATCGATTCCAGCTGGAGGAAGCAGCTACTCCGTCGTAGAACACCTCCTTGTGAGCTGTTTTCCGCACCGCAGCTCCACCATTGAAGTCTCGTTTTTTCTTGAAGCTTTCGTAGTACCAATCCATGCCGTCCTTGCGATCCACACGATCAACCTGAAGGAGCTCCACCTCGGTGCGCTTTTGGGCATCAGCTGTGAGTTGATGCTCGCTGGCCACGCCCTCGTTATCACCACTGGGCGTGGTTCTCTGATACTCCTCTGCCGTGGGCTGAGCCACTTGCTGCTGATACGGTGTATACACCTTGGTAATGGTGGACCGTCCTCCGCCTCGTAAAGGAGGAGCACCTGGTGGCAATGGAGGCACTGTGCTTGTAGGACGCGCTAGAGTAACTTGATTATCACCCGGACTCTGAGGAGCTGTGGTGGTCACCCAGGAATGACTTTTAATCTGCGCCACATGCTCTTCAGCTGGAGGAATCAAGAGAATAGTCTCTGCTGTGGTGGTCTGCACCAGAGGAGGAGGTCTTAGCAGGGTAACAGATTGCGCCTCCAGATCTTCGTCATCATACTGAGAATCCAGCTCACTGCTGGACGAGGCATCATTTATAGGAGTCACCGGTGTAGTACTAGTGGTTGTAGTACTCCTCGTGGTCGTTGTAGAAGATTTAGTTGTACTAGTGGTGATCCTGTGCATCAAAGGCGTTGTGGTGGTTATATCGGGAGTAGTCTCTGTGACTTCGTATGTAGCTGACTCTGAACTTTCGCCACTGCTTTTGGTGGGCTTCGGTCGTGCCTGAGCAGATATGGGGATAAACTTTCGCTGACCCTTGCCTTGGATCATTTCCGAGGGTTTTCCCGTAATATTTACCACCTCCACTAAACCACGCCGCTGTTGAGGATCATGAACAGGCATAAAACCGCCCACATGGGCTGGTACGATGGGACGGAAGCCACCGCGCTCGATGCTCGATGGCTCACGAAAGGTGGTGCGAAAGACACCCACTGTGGTGGCAGCACTCCCACTCTCATTACTCAGTGCATCCTCCATGGACGAAGTGGTGGAATCTGTGTCCACATAACGATTCCTGGCTATGTTCTGCTTCTCCTGCGTCTGCTGATCCTTGAGGTATTTTTCGAACTCTGCACTATTCGGCTGGTACATCCTAGTTTTGCCACGTCCACTTGGCAGGCTAATGTGGGCCATGCGATGGGTGGCGGGCATCTCATCATTGCTATCCGTTCGTTGTTTTCTTCCTCGGTCCCCGAAACCAAAGAACCTGCCCAAACTTACGCTGGGCAAGGGATATCCGAAGAAGGTAAAAGGCGATCCAGATCCTGGCTGTGGTTTCCGATTGAAGTACTTGGTATGGAGTATAGTATTATTCAGATCTATATTGCTGTTTATCGTGGGATTCGGCTTGGGTCGCTGTGAAGTACTGATCGCGGAGTGGGTGGTATCTGGTGCCTCGGTGGCGTCCACATACTGATCATAGAAGTACTCGCTCTCACCAACCAGCGGCCGATCTCCTGGCAGTCGGGTTCCTTCACCCGCCTCACACTCATCGTTGAAGTCGTCGGGCAAATCCCTCTGGAAGACATCGCCATGCTCATTGAGCAGTGGCAACTGATTGCCATCGGTACGTTCGTTGCCATAGATGTCCGCACCCACGCAGAGACTCCTTTCCATGCGGGCCGAGCGAAGTAAGCGCCCATCCTGGCACTTGGGTCCCGGATACGGAAAGTTCGTCTCCTGCAGCCACACCGAAAGCCATTGCATTTCGCAATTGCAGTCAATCGGATTTCCTGTGTTAGAAATTATGAATTCAGTAACGATTTCTCTGTGCCTTAAAGTACTAACCATCCACATCCAAGATGGCAATGTTTCCCCTCACATTCCGGAAGGTACGTTCTTTGATGCTCCTCAGCTGGTTATTCCGCATGGAGAGTACTCGCAAACGGGGCATTGTCTCAAATGGGGCGCCCTGTACAGACAAAAAAGATTGAATGAAAGCAATAAATCCAATATATAGATTTTTAGGACCGCACCTGTATCCGACATATCTGGTTGTTATCCATTTTAAGCTCCACCAGCCAATTTAGCGCCTTCAACGGCATCGTGGACACCAACTTGACACCGTTGGTGGACAGATCCAAAACTTCCAGGTTCCGCATGCTTCGTAGACCTATGTTTTCCATATTCCTGAAATGATTGTTGGACAGATTCAAGAATACCAGCGAGTTGGCGTTGTGGAAGCTTTCCGGAGAAATGTAGCGCAACTTGTTGTACTGGAAGTGGGAGGCCAGTAGGCTTGGTAGCTCCTCAAAGACATGATCCTTCAGCTCCACCAGCTTATTGTCCGCCAGGACGAATTCCTGCAGCTCATCGAGTCCTTTGAGTGCGCCAGGCTCCACATTTCTAATCTCATTGCTGCTGAGATCAAGATATTGCAGCTTGGGAAGATTTCGGAACGTGCCCTGCTGCAGCTCCACAATGAGATTATTGGACAAACGGATCTCCACCACATTGCGCCAGCCACCAATCACATCGGATTGGATGCGGGATATTTGGTTATAGCTCAGATCGATGTCTCGCAGGTTATTCAAATTCCCCAAACCCACTGATATATCCAGTAGGGCATTGCCAGAGAGGTCCAGATACTCCAGAGATCTTTGGGTATCGAAAGCCGTGGGGGAGATGCTCCGTATGAGATTTCTAGAGAGATCCAGCTGCTCCAGTCTGCTGTTATTCGAAAAGAAATTATCCGTGATGGCTTCCAGCTTGTTGGACTGCAGATTTAGATTCCTAAGTTCTGCGAGGGGCAGTAAAGCCCGCTCATCCGCTTCTCCCAGTTGATTTTCTTGCAAATGCAGCAACTCCAGACGTTGTATTCCTATGAAGGAGGTGTCCTCCAGCTGACGCAACTCATTTTGAGCCAGACTCAAGACTCTCAGCTCCAATGCCCCTTGAAAGCCATGTCTGGGCAGCTGCTCTATTCGATTCTGGCTGAGGTCCAGCATTCGAAGGTTGGGCAATTGCAAATCCTTGCTTGCAGCTGCTGGGAGTGATGTGATTTGATTACCCTTCAGCGAGATACGCTCCACAATCCTAGGCAGTCCCCCAATCACAGATTTAAGCTGATTATAACTGGCATCCACCTCAAAGAGTCTCTCCAAATGAATTAGGGTGGAAGAGTGGACTTTGGTCAGCTCGTTGGAGGATATATTGAGCGTTTCCAGGAGGGGATTATGACGAAAACTATTGGGTGCCAGCTCGATGAGTCCATTCTCGCTCAGATCCAGGCGTCTTAATGATGGAAGTCCCGCCAGCAACTGGGAATCCACCCTAGCAAACTGATTCTGCGCCAGATCGAGCCCCTTCAATCCAGGAAGGTTCCAAAATGGTAAGGGTAAGTCCGAGGATAGACTGTTATTTCTCATCCGAAGTTCCCTCAAAGCAGGCATGGCCATTAGTGCATCCCTTTCAATGAGCCTCAAATGGTTGTGGTTCAGATGCAGTTGCTCCAAAGTCCCATGACCACGAAGTGCTCCATAGGGCAGTTCGCTCAAGAGATTACCACTCATGTCCAGATAGCGAAGCCTGGGCAAGGCATCCAACAAAGCCCTCAAAGCCTCCACATGACCAATTTCATTGTTATAGATGTGGACTGCCTCCACGCCACTTCCACTGGCCTGAAGCAGGGATTCCGGATGGATCCGCCGGATAAGATTGTTCTGTAGGTATATGGTTTTCAGTTGAGGGGTGCGCAGAAAGGCTCCATACTGCAGTTCAGTAATCCTGTTATCGTTCAGATGAAGCTCTGAAAGATTGGGCAGATCCACAAAGGAGCCGTCCTCAATGACAGTGATGAGGTTGTTGTCCAGTCGTAGTTTCTTCAGATGCTCCAGATCCTTGACAATGCGACCCACCATGCCCACATCACTGATTTGATTGTAGGACAGTTTTAGGCTAACCAAATTGGGCAGTCTGGACAGGGCACGTAAATGAATCCAGTTGAGACCATTGTGCGATAGATCCAGGTTCTTCAGGGATATCAATCCATCAAACAGACCGGCTTCCAAGCGAGTGAGCCCTGCCCCGCCTGTTATGTGTATGTGCTGCAGTTTGGGTAAATGTCTGAAGAGATGGGAGGGCAACTCCTGAAGAGCACCCGTTTGGACACTGAGATAGGTCAAACTGAGCAGTCCGGAGAAGTCGGGCAAGTGCTTGAGTTCTTCGCTCTGGATGGTGATGGCCAGCATGTTGATCATCCCGTTAAGACTCTCCGCCGGAATGCTACGCAGTTGGGGTTCCACCACGAAGATCTCCACCAGGCCGTTCTCCAGCTCATTTAGCCAGCCATTGGACACTCTTTCGATGCTATTGTGGCGCAGCATGAGGCGAACTATCTGAAGGCTACCGAAAAAGCGTCCTGGCAGTGCCGGTAACTGGTTGTTCTCCAGGACCAGCTCGTCAATCCTGCCCTTGATGTTCCGTTCCACTGCCTTCAGACCGTCCATGATCTGCGGTAGATTGCTGTGGGAGCACCTGTACGAAAAGATACATCATTTTCAAAGTTGGAAGATCATACAATGCCACCTACCATATCTGGATTTCCTTTCCTCTTAGCGAACAGCGGCAGGGTAAAATAGCCTGTGAGGGAGGACAACTCTCGGCCCTGATCAAGTTTATCCCAATGCAAAGTAGTAGGAAAATGGGCAGTAGCATCATGGCTAGACCATAGGTTTTGTGTACGGGGCGTCTTTGTTTTGGCCAACTTGGCACATATCTGTTGCAAGTAAAAGTATGCCATTTGTTAATTTACCTACTTACTACCGCTTCCCTTATTTAGTTTATATTCCACAACTTTAACTTAACAAATTGTATGGAATCTCTGGACAACAAATCAAATCCATAATACATAATATCCAAAAATAGACGCCAAAAAACCAAAAATGAAAACAAGCCTCACATGAACACTGCTCTAGGAAAACCTTCTAGTCGTATATTCATCACAGAAAGCGGGCGAAATAGATTTAAAAATAATTTATTTTTGATTGTGGTATAAGGTTCGCCAAACCGCAGACAAGACCCCCTCGATTGCGTTTTTTTTTGCTATCTAAGCCCAGGTGATCGGTAATCAAAAAATTCCCGCACCCAGAAAATAAAAATCAAATTGTGTTATATATATTAAAAAAATATATATATTCTTGTAAATTGTAACTATAATTTGAGATGTTACTTTAGGGTATATTTATTTTAAGAGTGTTTCCTTTTTTGAAAGATGAACATCACGCGCTCCCACTAGTTAAATAAGGGGTATATGATAGTCGACTGTAGTTTCTAGTTTCATTTTGGATGGGGAGCATTGTTCTCCTAGAAAAAGGGGTATATGATATGATTTGGATGGGGAGCATTGTACTCCCACTAGCTAAATAAGGAGCATTTTTTGGATTGGGAGCATTGTACTCATGGTACTACAAATTTTTTAAGTGTTCCGTACAAGGGTATCCCCATAAATCAGAGGCTAACCAGGCGCCTGTTTCGACCAGCAGATAAGAACGGACTATATAAAGAAGCCCCCACGGCCAGTAAGCCAGCAAACTCGACTGCCCACAATGAATCCAATCTTTTGCGTGCTGCTGTTCAGTTTGGTGGCGGGTCTAGCCTTCGCCGAGAAGTCGGACTATTGTCTGAGCGAGATTGTCAAGACGGACGAGAGGATCCGTGCACACGGATATCCGACTGAGACGCACGAGGTGACCACCGGAGATGGCTATGTGTTGACCCTGTTCCGCATCCCTTACTCCCACAAGCTGAAGAACCAGAACGAGATGCGACCTCCTATTCTGCTGCAGCACGGATTGTTCAGTAACTCAGACTGCTGGCTGTCCTCCGGGCCGGATAACTCCCTGGCCTACCTTCTCGCGGATGCCGGATACGATGTGTGGCTGGGCAATGCCCGCGGTAATATCTACTCGCGGAACAACGTCCGCATCTCGCTGAACAGCCCCAAGTTCTGGCACTTCGACTGGCACGAGATCGGTACCATCGACATTCCAGCCATGATCGACTACATCCTGGCGGACACTGGCTACGCGCAAATACACTACGCCGGACACTCGCAAGGAACCACTGCGTACCTAGTAATGCTCTCCGAGCGACCGGAGTACAATGCCCTCATAAAGTCCGGACATATGCTGGCTCCATGTGCCTTCTTCGAGCACGGATCCTCCTTCATTTTCAATGCCCTGGGTCCCTTGGTGAGTACACCCGGTGGCATCTGGAACCAACTGCTGGTGGACACCGAACTGATCCCGCACAACAACCTGTTTAACCGATTGGTCGACAACAGTTGCCATCTGTCCAACTCGATCTGCAACAACGCCTTCATTATGTTTGCTAATGGTGGATACGTTAATGCCAATGCGGTGAGTAGGATCAATGTGTAAGCCTCTTTTCATTAGATATTAGATGAAGGTGATCATAATTGGATATTCAAAATGTACTTTCAGAGCTCCATGAGTGTCCTAATCGAGACCCATCCGGCTGGATCCTCCAGCAACCAGGGCATCCACTTCCTGCAGCTGTGGAAGTCCCTCAAGTTCCGCCAGTACGACTGGGGCACCAAGAAGAACAACCAGCTGTACGGCCAGGACTTGCCTCCAGATTACGATCTCAGCAAGATCACCGCACCCACCCACTTGTACTCCAGCACCAATGATGCCCTTTGCGGACCCGAAGATGTTAATACCCTGGTGGAGAACTTCCCGCACCTGAAGGAGGACTATCGCGTGCCCCTCCAGAGTTTCAACCACTTGGACTTCATCATCGCCAGGAACATGAAGGAGCTGGTCAACGATCCGATCATCGAACGCATTAACTCTTACGAAGGTCGCTAGAAATCGACCAATAAAAGAACCCGTAAGGATATGCACCTTTATTTACTCATTCTTCGCGGGATGCGGACCTGAATTTATTTGAGGGTTTCAGATACAAGTTTATTGTCCACGTCAATTACTAGCCAAAGAATTGCCTAAAATGAATCTTCAAATAACAAAATGAGTACAGCGTTCCCATGGAAAAACACCAGAAAATAATGAAGTGCATTGCTTGAGGAATCTTATCTTGTTAAGTGGAAAATATGCAAGTGCCAATAAAAAAGTATTTTAAAATTTTTCGTTTGAATTTATAATGTGGCTTTGGTCGATTATCAACACCAAAAATAAGTTTTGTGTCAGGAACTAATCAGTCTGGCTGTTGTCTAAAATGTTTTGCTCATTAGAAAGTACCTTCTTTCCACAAATTTGCACTCCGATTAAGGCGATTTGTTCCTTTTAATGAGTGCGAACTGGCTTAAAGTTCCCGTTAATTGAAAGAGCAGAGAAAGAAAATTTGGTTTAAATCGGTTGAGATTAGATTTCTTCCTTAAGGTGTTAACATTTCCAGCACCAGGTGTTAGACTCTAATAAATTCCATTAAATATTGGCTCTTATCGTCGTTTGCTGGAGATTTAAACTGGTAATCAAATCATAGCTTTTCTGGTATAATCAAGAGTACACTTTAGATTAACGATTAATGATACTCACACTTATTTACAGTGAGCAAAATAAGTTTACGATCACTTTGTGTACAGCATCAATTACTTAATTGAATAATTGCCTAATTCAATTCCCATAGCTATATTTGAAAGATACTTGTCTACAAGCTTGAACCAAAGACACTAGATTATTATTATATTTATTATTCTAGTATAATAATTATTCTAGAAACCTTTGCCAAACCTATAAGGCGTATATGTTCTTGATAAGTCCGTATGAACCTCGAGATCTCTGGAACTTAAAAAGCTAAAGCCTATAGATTAGGCATACAATAGGCTACGCTATGCCAGTTGGTCGAAAATCACTTTTGAAAAAGGTTTTGATAGTTTTATGCTCCATTTAAGGCCCACAAGTTAAAATGGCACCAGGTTGAGTGAGCCATCTTGAAAAGAGCGTTTTCTTCTCTATTTTTTGCATATCTTTATCTGCGCCGCACTGCCACGAGCTGAGGAAGGGGTATGTGATAGTCGAGCAACTCTCCTCTTATTGCATAAGCTCGATGGCTAAAAATGTTGTTCGTTGTAGAAGATGCGCTTCTAACGGCTCATAAATCCCAAACAGGTGGGTGGCTCGTACGACAGGAAGTGATTCGAACGTTGTCTTGTGCAACAGCTCCAAAAGACTCGTCGCGTCTTCATAACTTATAGACATACCTCTCCATGGCACCGCCATACTTACACATACCACCCTCACATGCAACTGCGCAACCCGGACCGAAAACAGAAAAAAAGAAACTCTTTGCGCCAAGAAGCGTAACATGGCTCTTCAACGAAAATTTTGTAATCATTTAACAAAAAACAGAAGCGGTAGGAAACCAGAGAAGCAGCTGCAAAACATCGGACTGTAGTGAAACGCTAACCGCCGATCCAACTTCGGTTTTAGCTCCATCTTCTGGCGCCGTTTCTACGCATGCGCAGCGGAGTTTACATCAAACGAACCTTGAAATTATTGTCGTTTTCATCATTGTTCGGAGTATCTGCATCTTTCGCTGAATCCGCACCACTGTTGCCAGTATCGCTCTGTACCCGTACTGCTGTGTAGTTTAGGCATTGCACGGCTTGAAGTCACACTAAGTGAAGCCACCGCCCCCATCTTCCATCCCCATCACCATTTTCCCCCAGACTTTGTAGCGACAATTTCACCTGCTCCGATTTCTATTCGGTTCCCTCGAACTCCCCCAATTAAGTAACTGTTTAGTTCTACATCGAACGGTTGTTGGGGAAATGTAGATTTGGAATTGAGATGTGGGTTAAGTATTTAGCTTAATTGATCGACCTCTTAGCAGCAACCTTTCCAGCATTGCAGTTAACGCTCTAACATCATTTAATGAACTTTACTATATTTTTTAAGGTTTTACTTTTTTTACTTAGTACCTTAACACTCAACCTTCAATTTTTTGCTTTGCAGACAAATTAAACGTGTTACAGGCATTTTAACTTTTTTAGTTTCTTCCAGATTCTTCTTTTTGTAATTATCAATGTTGTTTGACTCACTCAATGCAAATTAATCCAACAGATACTCCTTGTTGCAGTGCTACAAAAAGTTCAACCACTCCACTTGTGATTCAGTTAGAGTACAAGAACTCTTACTTTTTGGTAATAATTCCCTAAACCCCTTGGGATGTTTTCTTGATTTATTTTACTTCACTTTCGAAAGCACTTTTGCTTTTTCCCAAGGCGTTTTTATTCAATTAACCACCAACACCTGAAATTCATTCAGCACGGACACCGCCGAGTTCTCCGCGATTTCTTAAGCCGAACCGCCTCGTTTGGAATGCACGCGAAAACTGTTTCTCGAAGTAAGTTACAGCCCAGCGGATTACTCAAGATTTCTACCAGAAATGTCGGCTTGAGCGGAGCTTCCTGCCTGGGCCATATGGGAGTTGGAGTCCACGTTGGGCGCCACACTTGGCTGATTCTCGCCGAAGAGTGGGTTCCATTTTGGAACTCGAGTGTGGCGGTCTGTGACCACGGATCAGAGGTCGCACTTGCCTCAAGCTCGAGGGTTCGGCACAGCCGGCGTTCATCTTAATGAAAACGCAAGTGAAATTACGAAAATGATGACGGGAAATCACTGTGGAAGCAAAGGCCAAGTGCTAATTTTGGCAATGTATAATGCGATAAACGTAACAATTTTACTCAATTATGAATTGTACATGCCAGTTTTCTTATAAGTGGAATGGCTAGGACGAACAGCGACATGTAAACTGGCACATTTACTACACCATAACCTAGTCCAGACGAATTATTGTGCCTGTGCCCTGCATTGGGATCCTCCCTTGCTGGCATGTTAAAGTATTCTAGGAATTCGGGATTTTCAATATTTTGTTCGTACTGCCCGGGCTTATTTCCTGCTGGACTGTACCTCACCACCAATATCTTTCGTCCGTTCTTATCTCTGAAATATGTGTATAATATATTTATTACATCTCAGTGAAGCGGGAAAGACGCACTTTACTCACAACTTATCTTTCGGTGTCCATCCAATGCCGATTACAGTCGATGATTTCCACGTGATAAACGAGAATTTATCAGCCAATGATTGCTCAACTTTGGTTCTACGCTCCTTTGGTATGCTATAGGAAGCTGCCCCCTCAGTGGCCCAGTAATAAACACATTCATTTTTTTGAAATTCGCAAATGTTCTCCGAAAACACTTCAAACTCCTCATCCGATACGGGATAGTCCAGGTGATCCACACGAATGTTCCTTTCCTTAGCTTGCTCGTATAATATTTGATCTGGAATCTTCAAGGTAGCCAGATACTGTGTAATGATTTTTGAGTTATCTATTAAAATAAATGGTGTACAAGTCATTCATACGTAAGCATACACCAAAGCTTCCTTGGAGAGGGCAGGCGATTCGATGAACTCCGGAACAGTCCAATCCCTACGATGTTCATTATGGGCAGTGAGCACTTCACTCTTAATGATATCATATCCCAAGCTAGGCTATAGAAGTACATAAAGGGCTTATTGTTATACATTTCCTTAATAATATATATTTTAATATATTTTAAATTACTCTAGAAGCGAGGAAAACCAGAAGGAGCAGCATATACATATACATATATTTTGTTGGTGCTCAGTTCACTCTGTATTTTGACAAGATTTTCCAGACTGTCAGGTTTTATTCTTGCAAAAGGGAAAATAAAAAGATTAGGCAAAAATCGAATTCAAGAAGAAAAGTGAAATTTTCAGCTGTTATTGTTTTTCTCTTGTCAGCCACAAATATAAATAATATTTTTATTTCTAGACACATAATATTTACTTCATTTTCCCCGTGCCAATCCATCTATATGCGTCATGCAGTTGTCATTGCCATTTTTCACCCCACTGCAACCAGACGATAAGACCACCACGGAAACTAGTCAGTCATCTCACCCAGAGCTAATTCATTGCACTTTACTATCTGGACACTCCACGTGCTCGATTCAAATTCGGATTAGCCAGTACTACCCGCTAATTGAAATCCATTGCAGACTGACCCCCGCCGAGGGACTTGAGTTCACTATCAGCGAATCCGAATTTCGCACTGAGTTCCAAGGTTAATCTGATTTGCGGCACATGAAGGGATCACTTATCTTTAGGATCGTACGATGCTCTTTCTACGGTATCTTTCGTGGCATGCTAGGCTGGGTTAATACTGTTCCATTTCTGAGCAAGTCTTCCTATTTAGTTGGGGTAATCTATGAAATTCCGTGTTTAGCTATGAGCTCCATGGGAGAAACTTCCTGGGCTTTATGGGTCTACTGATGGGTAAAGAGCCGTCGAGTCATCGCAGACACCCCTAGAAAAGAGGGGCCTGTCCGAGAACCCAGCGAAGGAGCACCCTGTACATCCCGACTGAGCTTACATAACCACGCGTCCAACGCAACTTGTGTACATATATGCATGATGTATGTGCACAGATTTAGACATTCCCCGCCACAGAAAAGGAAACCCACCCAACTGAGGCGACTGTCACCGTTGTTGTTGTCAATTGGCGGGCCTCCTCCATATAATTTGCTTTCGTTTTCATTGAATCCCCCGGGCCCCAAACAAATTCGGTGCGCCATGACGACAATTCCCACCGCCATGCCCGTTCCAGTGTCCATCTCATGGTGAATTTGACTGGCTGCCAACTAGCACTCACTAACCCAATTGACTAGTAACTAAGCGACCAGACGGGACGAGTGGAACCGACGGGATCCGAGTGCTCAGGCGATATATACGTACGAACATATAGCGGAAACAAGGTGCTAATGTTGAGCGCCTGCTGAAAAATAATTCGCAAATTTCGAAATCAGTTCAAAATCGTAGCTCGCTGGCAGCGCTCGTCGCGAATCGAGAGACCGGCCCGGAAAATGTTTCGCAAATGCCTTGCCAGCCTGGCTTTGGGCCCAGTTCCCAGTCCCCTGCCGCTGCCCAGGATAGCCCCCATCGCCAGCCAGCTCATCCAGAGTCGTGCGTTCCACCAGGTTCCTCGCGAGAGCAGGCCACCCAAAATTCTCATCACAGGTCAGTCGCCGTGCCACGTGGAGCAGCTATATTTAACCGCATAGCAGTGCGTTCAAGGCCGATCGGAGCAGATTCATCATTTCAGCATATGGTGGACACGCCTAACTAAAGGCCATCAACACAACGCACTTTCGAAGATTTTGTGACATTTTTTGCCAGTTAAACATCATGGTGTTTCATAGTTATCAGGGATAGTAATTATGTAAATATTGAAATTATGGTGCTTTTCTTACTGTAGCTTAACATCTAAGCCAGTCATCCAAGTATCTAACAATCCGATTGCTTGGAAACTACACCTGCATTCGAAAGATACAAACCAATTCAACATAAATGCGGCTGAGAGCCTAGTTTGCTAAACAGCTTAACCCGTAAACCATTAAAGATGACTAAATGCGAATCCGGTAATTTGTAGCTCCACATATTATGTGTTCCCTACACCAAATCCGGTGATTTGTAGCCCCAAATATTATGGTTTCCTATACCTGTACCTGGTGAAACTAAGTTCCTAATTATAATTCGTCTAAACACGATTTATTTATTAAATCTGTGCAGCCTGAAAGAGTGCTATGATATGCACACTCGTATATATATCTCATTTTTTTCAGGTGGCCTGGGTCAGCTGGGAATCGAATGCGCCAAACTACTGCGGACGCAGTATGGCAGCAACAATGTGATTCTCTCGGACATAATAAAGCCCAGTCAGTCGGTGCTGGAGAACGGTCCCTACATTTTCGCCGACATCCTGGACTTCAAGGGCCTCCAGAAGATCGTTGTGGACCATCGCATCGACTGGCTGATCCACTTCTCGGCTCTGCTGAGTGCGGTGGGCGAGCAAAACGTTCCACTGGCAGTGCGGTAGGATATGCAATAAATACCAGTTTCGAGTTTCGAGTACATCCCCTCCAAGCTCAGTAAAGTCCTGCCCAATCCCTCGCCTCATATTGCACAATACCCTATACCCTTTCACTAACACGAGTCCCATCACAGGGTCAACATCGAGGGTGTTCACAACGTCATCGAGCTGGCGAAGCAGTACAAGCTCCGCATCTTCGTACCAAGCACCATCGGAGCTTTCGGCCCCGACAGCCCGCGCAATCCCACGCCGAACGTTACGGTAGGTCCACCTACACTGCAGCACTGGCCAAGCCAGAAGTTTGTTCGATACTACGATACTAAGAACCCAGTTCCGCAGATCCAACGGCCGCGCACTATTTACGGCGTTTCCAAGGTGCACGCCGAGCTAATTGGCGAATACTACTACCACAAGTTTGGACTGGACTTCAGATGCCTGCGCTTCCCCGGAGTGATTTCCAGCGATCCGCCGGGCGGTGGCACCACAGGTACTTAAGCACCGATCATTTCAGGGGAATTTCTTCGCGATATGCGTTGAAACCGTGTCGTCAACCGCACGTCAAGCTTTATTTAATCCAATTTCGTACCATAAATGCCTCAATTGACGATAGTTTATGATAATCAAAGAGCATGACAATGGCCATAATTCGCACAAACCTGGTGACCCATATTACCTTTTTCTCTGATTGAACTGATTAACTTTAGGATTGTCTAAGTCTAAGTACCTGCTTTCACTCATGAGTGCAGTAATGGGCTTATTACACTTAAGGGAAAGCTGATTAGTTTTAATGCCCTTTGCATTCTTATAAAATTACGTATACGCATCATGCATCGAATCATTTCCTCAGCTTTAAACTCCTTTCCTTCTTTTTATGGTTCCACTCTTTAGATTACGCAGTGGCCGTGTTCCATGAAGCCCTGCGACATGGAAAGTACACCTGTTACCTGCGTCCCGACACAAGACTGCCCATGATGTACATTGAAGATTGTTTGCGGTGAGTATAATGCATTGTAGTTGGTTAGTTCCTGGCCATTAATGAGCTCCCCACTAGAGCTCTCCTGGAGTTCATGCGCGCACCCAATGAGCAGCTGAAGCGCCGTGTCTACAACGTCACCGCCATGTCCTTCACTCCCGAGGAGCTGTTCGCCCAGCTGGGCAAGCACGTGCCCAATCTGCACGTGACTTACAAGCCGGATAGCCGCCAGTTGATCGCAGACGCCTGGCCGCAGGTGTTCGATGACTCTGATGCGCGGCGGGACTGGCACTGGCAGCACAAGTACGACCTGGTCAACCTGGTGGACTTCATGATCAAGGACGTGCAGGATAACTATATCAATGTGCAGCCGGAGCAGCAAACTCTGCAGATCTAAGACGTGGGATCAGACAACCGCATCTAGTATTGCTAAGTAATGAAATTCAATCGCATTTAACACTGCATTTATCTAGTGAATAGCAACACAAACACAAACCACTGTACCATTACCTTTTAAAATACAGTAAGGCATTTATTGGAAAGGAAACTCCATTAGTTCTTCACCGTATGGAACACTGCTTTGTTTGGTGTGAGTTTCGCACAATAGCTTATGGTTTATTTGAACTCAAATACTATTGGTAAGCACCATTAGTTTGCGACATGCGACAGCTTATATTACGACTTAGGTTAGGATCTACAATGCCTGCTCGGAGTCACTTTATCATATATCAGACTCCTCTAGCTCCGAACCGCCAAGCCCACGAAAGTGGTGCAGACTACCGCCATGTGTGGCTATATACAAGTTCGCTACGGCTTCGCTGCCTATCGACTTTGATTCGATTTTGCCAATAGGATCTTTAGATTTTCTTGACTTTGGCTGCGTGGGCGGCACTCGTTGGTCTGCGGATTCTGTAAACGAGCAGATTGGAGAGTTGTCTATCAATTTGGGTCGCTGGCTTGGCTCTTCGCGTTTGCTATTCGGATCTTCCACAAAGTGTTTTCATCATGCTGTTCATTTGTTGCTGTTTTAAAGTTGGCTGAGTTTATTTTTCCATCAACTTAATTAACTTAAACTTCGATTTTAATAAAAAAAAGGGATGTATATAAATATATCTTTTAAGTTTAAAATGAATTTGAATTTATATAAAAATCGGTGGTAGCTGTTGAGTTTATTGCAAATATATGTGAGTGTAAAATTCTGATAAAAAAAAACAATACCTTTACCGCGGTCTTAAGGTCTTAAGTCATCAGTATGCCTATAGCATTTTTTGATAATAATTTGAACTTATGGTAGTACACCTTAAAAATAAATTTACGACTATTGATGCCGATCAGCCAACTTCACATATTAAATACACTTTGTGAAGGCTCCTAGCAATCGCTCCAGGCTGATTAAACATTTCACTTAAAATATATTGCTTTTGTATTCTCTGATTGCAATATTTCGCAGGTCCTACTATTCGTATTGAAATTAGTTAGGTATTTCAATTATTTAGGTAATTAAGTACAGTTTATAAACGCTGTAAATGTTCGACTAAGCTGTTGTTTGTACAATGGTATGTAAGTTTAACAATTTATACAGAATACTTATTGGCTGAGTCGTTTGCTGATTGTTATTTTTACAAATTTTAATTTTTGGTATATGATAAGTTTGTGCATTGCGGGTATTTTCAATTCAATTGCGTGTTTGCTTAAATTTGGTTTCTGAGTAATATGCGAACATTTTTCGATACATTGTCGCCTGTTTAGCAAGTAAAGAGAGACGCGTCGCTCGGTGAACTGTTGCATGTGTTTCTTGTGCGCTTTTGTCAGCTAGAGTACATGTTTTGGGTTATATACATTTTAAGTTTTGTGTGAACGAGGGCCCCTAAATCATGTGCGACATCATGCAACGACTCACATCACGGTTAGCGCGATGCAAATGACCTTGATAATGCTGATGAATGCGTTGATGGTGGTGCTGCTGCTGTGGATGTGGCTGCTGATGTTGCTGCTGCTGTGCTGGAAAACTCGTCTCCGATTCCATCATCATGCCGCCGGTGGCCTGCATCTCGTAATCCATCAAAGAGGCCTGCGTTCCAATTATTTGTGTGGCAGGCAACGAAAAGAAATCTGTAAGGCAAGAAACCGATTAGTAAGTACCATTACACATAAGATGTTGTAGAATATAATATTCTTTGCTAGCCATCACATAATATAAAAACACAAAGTTGTAAGTGTTAATTAAACACTATGCCCCATTTTTCTCAGTGCAGCGGCAATGCAACGCAACACGTTGACACTATCGATGCTTGGCCCAATTACCGATCGTTTATTTATAACCAATTCGGAGCAGAGCAGTGTGTTGTCATTTCTTATCTTCGAGTTAGTTGGTTTTTTTTGTTTGCTTTTTGTTTGTGCTGATACCTTATCAACACAATCGGAAACTATAAGGTAACGAAGGCAAAACTGAGTGCACAGATTAACAACAACTAATTAAGAATAGTCATAATTGCAAAAATAAGTTTTTTTTTTCAATAAAAAATATTTTAAGTTTTGTAGCCCATAAGTTATATATTGATAGATATTGAAATAAGACGTGCACAAAAGCAAATGTATAAATACTATATACACATGTATGTGGCTTAAATCATGAGAAAAGCGACTATACCCACTGAAGAAAGCGTATAGATTATTAATTCACTCGCGCAGATACACACATTTTTTACCGGCTGTATATATTTACTCCCACACTGTCTTTCCCCTTTGTTATCTTCTATTGTTGGAACACTTTTGCGAATGAATTTTGATTAAACTGGCGGAGTAAGAAGAATCGTAGCACTCTGTTGACCCAGTGTTCCAGTCTCCACAGCCCCCCCAGATAATCCCCAACTTCCACTCGTGTGTTTTGTTTAGTCGGGCAAACACACCAATATATGTATGTATGCATATAATGAGTCAAACCGGTTTTTCTTTACTAAATTTAGCGGCTGTCAAGTGCTTATCATTTCAGGTTCTGTATGTCAGAGATAGCCCAGATCCCACAAAATGCATAAAAACTGATAACACAGGTCACTGGGAGCCAAACGGCAAAGAAATGTGCCGCAAGGTCAGAGATAATTGTGTAAATTTACAAGTTTTACGACACTTTCACGCAACGCCAATTAAATGCGCTGGCATAAGAGCCAAGGTCGAAAGATTACAAACGAAAATTACAGCTTAAATCATTTGGTATGTTCCGGTTTTTAAATTCACTTGTATACAATCGTCTTCGCTAAACTTATAAAATTAAAATGAATATCATTTTTAATTTGGGTATAAATTTGATTTCATTGCAAGTATTAAATGGAATGCCACAATTAATACTAGATACAGATATATTAATATATTTCTGGTTGTCTTGTGGAACTGCTTATTAATAAGCTGAGGATAAATATTTTAAAGCCGCTCAACAACAAATTTATTTTGTGGGAATGTAAACTTCTATGTGCACAAATTGTTAAAGTGAGTTAAATGTAAAGAATAATTCCCTGCAGTCTGATAATTTTGAATAACTAGCTTACATTTGGAATAACGATACTTACCATTGCAGTACTGGGCAGCCAAGTCACCCTCGTCGTAGCGACATCTCTTGGTGTGCACCGGTTGGTCCGTGTCCAAATACCCGGCAGGATTATGAGCGGGATTTAGGCGCTTCTTGCAGCGTGGGACTTCCTGGGGCAGGAAGGCCGGCATCGGTTGCCCCACAACGTGATTGCCATCGTTGTTGTTGTTGGCGTCGGTCATGAAGGTGACGGCACGCGGATTGAACGGATCCATCGAAGGACGCAGGGCTCCGGTTTCGAAAGTGGCGGCCGACGACGACGGATCACCATGTGCCCAGCACTCGAAATTCGTCAAAACCATCGCGCGCCAGCTGCAGTGGAATTTCCCCAAAAATCGAGCAGCGAGTACAGCAAATTCGGAAAAAACGCGCCTTTGCGTCAGTACTGTACTGTACGAAATCGTGCCGCAAACTGCAGGCGCTTATTTTTCTCCTAGTTGTAATCGTATTTGTATGCAATATGGATTTTGCTGGCTCTGTCGGCTTAATAACCGCCGAGTCTACGCAGCGGTTGCTAAAATGGCTGAAAAATTGAAATGAACACACGCAAGCGGGGCGCGCGAGCAAGCGGCCAAAATGCGATTGTAAATGCGGTGACGGCAACTGTTAAAAATAAACCAATAAGCAAGTTTCCATTTTGCCGCGTGCGCCTTTCGATTCACGATTGCTTTTTTGTTTTCCTTTCGATCCAGTGTGACCACACTGTTGCTGTCGCAATATGGCGTGCGGCTCTGGAGAAAAATACTAAAGAAGCAGCGATTCTACAGCTGTGGTCGCAGAAATAGTCCCTACAATTTAAACGTTCCGTAACGAATTTAAAAATAAGTTAGATCATAAGCACCTTGCCGAATCTCATTTCTTTTTTCTATAGTGACCATGAAAATTAATAATAAATTGCTTCAATACCTGAAATTATATTTACATGTAGACATTTTAAAATCTATATATAATTTTATTTCCAATAAAAGAATATTTACAAATGAATCTTTAAAAGGTTGTAGAAATATACGTTATGTTATATGGAGATACAACAATACCATCGATTAATCGAATAGTCGCAGTATTTTCCAGTATATTGGCAATGCTTGCACGGTACTACCACTTTATCATGTGATTTGTGATTTGTCAAATATTTCTGATAACCGAATGGCAGGCCAAAGCAAAACCAAAAATTGAGAGAAATTACTGATTTTTCAATTAAGCCGAATTCTATTTAACTGGAAATATGTCGACCAAGAACAAGAAAGCCGCCGGTGGCAATGGAGGGGCGCCGAAACAAACACGCCAGCAGTCGCACGTATGTAAAATGATGGCTCCGATTGCCGGCTAGCTAATCCCTTGTTTATTTTGGGTGACAAGGACTCGCAGGACTACAGCTCCTTCAAGACAGTGCTCTTCTACTGCATGCTCATCGTTTTCCTGCCCGTGCTGACCTTCTTCGTGCTGAAGGGCTTCGTTCTGGATCAATTCCTCGACATTTCCGAAGTTAAAGTGAACATAGCATCCGCCGTGGGAGCGGTCGTTGCTTTGCACATCGCCCTGGGCCTCTATATCTACAGGGCCTACTTTGGGACAACCGGTTCCAAGGCCTCAAAGACGGACTAATCCTCATCTACCCCGGACTGTTACCCCATTTCCATTAACTATAAGTCGGTAGAGCACTCTTTGTACATACATACATGCTATATACATAGATACAATTGTTTACATGCCAGCGAGGGAGGAGAAAGTCGCCTGTAAACCGTGTGTAATCGTTTTTCATTGCATAAGTTTCGATAACTGTGTGGAAAACGTGTTGTGTAGTGTTCTGTGTGCATACTTTGTATTAAAAATATACATAAATAAGTGAAATGCGGGTGCTACTCAGAAATTATTCGCTTATGGAGGCCGTCAAGAGATTGCTGCCGAGACCCCGCAAAAAAATCTACAATCTAGGCGCTTGCTTTGAGCTGGTGGACATTCCTAAGGTTACCTGAAATATATATTTATTGCTTAGTTGGGGGACTTTATTACATCGATAAACTTGCTTTTTACTATTCAAAATAAAAAGCAAGTTTATCGATGTAATAAAGTCATCATATATTTATCATATATATATTCTTTTTGATTAGAGCAACAAATATACCTTTTTGACTTTAAATTGACAAGAACATTTGTGTAAAGAGAGAGGCTATTAAACTGAATATTAAATTACCTTTGCCTAAGACCCCCGGTTATTGAATCTTGCCTGCGCCCCTAATTCGGATTTATGGGAGTGCCACCTGTTCGCGGCTGGTGCTGCCACCCGTTTTAAATGGCAAACAGCTGGTCAAATTATCATAAGCGTAAACAAACCAATTTCTTGCTGAGGATTTAATGATTTTTGAAGAAAGTGTAATTAATTACAGAGAAGAAACAAATAAGAATCCCATATCAGACATGCTCAACGAGTGTTACTTATAAGAAGCGCTATTTTCATCGACTTTTTTGACCCCCTTTGCGACGCCCATTTTTTGTTGTTCTGCCTTACAAGTCGGCCGTAAAAATTGGCCAAAATGATAAATTACTAGACTCGGCAAAGACCCTTAAGTAGACGCCGGAGTGTGCTGCAAAATAGTCCGGATAGTGCCACATCCGGACGACCTTTGAACTTCTTACAAACCCGCCATTATTGATTGCAACCACCTGTTGGGGTAAAACATTCCCAACGCCAAACAAAACCACTCAGCCACGTAGTCTCGAGTCAGTCGGTGAACTATGCTACATCGGTTTGCTAGAATGTGGACGCTGTGCGTACAGGCGGCTTTGATAGCCACCTTGGTGAGGGGATCCACATCCTTGACGGATAATCTCGTGGGAAGAACACAGGTCACTAGAGGGTAATTTAGATAAACCAACTGCCTGCTCATTATGTGCTTTCTTCTACTTCCAACAGATATCCTACAATCCCAGCGAACTCTCCGAGTCCCGATTCCTGGAGTATAGTAATCTATCCGATAAGCTGCACTTAAGGGAAGCCATTGACAAAATCCTTATACCTCGAGTTGTGGGCACAACAAATCATACTATAGTGCGAGAATACATCGTCCAGAGTTTGAGGGATCTAGACTGGGATGTGGAAATAAACAGTTTCCATGATCACGCTCCCATCAAGGGCAAATTGCATTTCCACAACATTATCGCCACCCTGAATCCACATGCTGAGAGATATCTGGTGCTGGCCTGCCATTACGATAGCAAGTACATGCCTGGAGTGGAGTTCCTGGGGGCCACCGACTCAGCAGTGCCCTGTGCCATGCTCCTCAACCTGGCAAAGGTGCTCCAGGAGCAACTGAAGCCCCTCAAGAAGAACAAACTGAGCTTAATGCTCTTGTTCTTCGATGGCGAGGAGGCTTTCGAGGTGTGGGGACCCAAGGATTCCATCTATGGAGCACGACACCTGGCCAAAAAGTGGCAGCAAGAAGGAAAACTGAATAGAATAGATATGCTGGTGCTCTTGGATCTGTTAGGTGCCCCCGATCCAGCATTCTACAGTTTCTTCGAAAACACCGAATCATGGTACATGCGTCTCCAGTCCGTGGAGACACGTCTTGCCAAGTTGCAGCTCCTAGAGCGCTATGCCAGTAGTGGGGTTGCCCAGCGCGACCCCACCCGCTACTTCCAGTCGCAGGCCATGCGATCTTCTTTCATCGAGGACGATCACATACCCTTCCTGCGCCGAAATGTGCCGATCTTGCACCTTATTCCGGTGCCCTTTCCCAGTGTCTGGCATACGCCCGACGATAACGCCAGCGTGATAGATTATGCGACGACGGACAACCTGGCGCTGATTATACGGCTCTTCGCTTTGGAGTATCTGGGCGGAGCCGTGGACAAGTAGTCAAATAGGCTCCAGTGTGAATCACAAATGTTATATCTACTTACGGCCTTATCTAATTGACCTGTTTGCAGTATCGAAACATTGTTGAATGTTCTTATGCCCGCCTAAAAATCCATAAAAACCTTGTTGTAACTGACTGCGTGCATTAAAACTACTTAAAAAGATCTGCAATACGCGTACTCCAGATATTTTTATACACATGTATTTATAGAAAATGCTTAGCTAATGACACGTCACTTTTATATATTTTTTGTAATCTTTCGGTTGTAAATTGTTTCACTTATGTACATATTCAGTTTAATATATACATAGTAAATATACCTTAAAACAAATAACATTTAACTAACCGCACTGTTGGGAAAAATTTAGATCGTGTTTATAAAAAAAGCGTCTGGACTCAAAAATTTCCGCGGTTTCAGATGGAAATCAAACATTTTGAGAGATTACTTAAAAATCAAGTCTGAATTAAAAATATAAAATGATTTACCAAAAAAGGTAATGTACATACTCCTCCTTCACGCTTTTTACAAAAATTGTATAACCTGTGCATTTAGGCGTTTTGTTTAAAAAATAGGGTCAAACGTCTACATATCCATATATCTATATGGCAAATTCGTAAACTAACTTAATAACTACCTAAAATCGTTAGCCTTGATTCAACTAAAGTTATTGAACGGGTCTCAATCGCTACTCGTTGGCCCAGGCGGAGTGCCGTTTAATTCGACTATATCTTCTTTCGCAGAATCCACACAAGCTTCTTCAAGTTTAGGCATGGACTTCGCCACTTGCTCGGCTTGACCCTTTAGGAGCTGGCCTGCGCATAGTTCTCCACGACCACTGCACTTAGCTCAGCGCAAGACTTGGATTTCGCTCTGGTATGTTCGTGGCTATTGCCTACGCACTTGGGCGGAGAAGATGACTTTCGACCACTGGGAGCATCGCAAACTTCGCGCAGATCGGTGCGAGAATCCCTGCAGCAAACCTTCTCGATGCATTCCACTGCCTGGCATTGCATCAGGCATTCTAGCGAGGCAGAGGCATTCTTATTGGTGGACGGATAAAACTCGGGTTGGATTGTGACTGCTCCGATTCCCTGATCCTGGAAGTATGCCCGAACTTGTTCGATGATCTTGAGGTAGAGTTTTGGATTCTGGAACTGGATGTGTATGGTAGCCACGTATCTGTGGGCTGCCAATTGCCATATATGCAGGTCATGGTAACTGATGATCTCTGGGAACTTAGTGACCAAGGTTCGCTCAAAGATTTCCAAGTCGATGGAACCTGGAATGGTTTGCAGCAGGATCAAGCAGGATTCTTTCACTGTAGAAAGACAGAAAGAAGAAAATTAGAATTCTACTCGAAAGATATAAATGTGTATTTTGTTTTCAAGTGCTTACTGTAGGGATAACTAAGCGTGACCAATAGGACGCAGGAGAAAATTGAGAGCACGGGATCAATGAACTTCGCCGTGTGCTGCTCATCCTCCGCCACATAGACGATTGCGGCACAAACGATCACAAATATGGTACTGGACACATCCCGCAGCATTTCCACGGCTCCCTGGCGTTTGGTGGCGAAGTAAACGCTACCCACTTCCGCCTCTAGTTCCTCACGCAACTGCCGATCGTTCCATGATTTGCTGAGTTGTCTTTGCATCGGAGATAGAGAAACATCTAAATTGCTGGACATAGGTCGCTCCAGCACCACGTTTCCTCCGGGTGTGAGGTGCAGAAAGCTTCCCTGGTGCAGCGTGTATCCACCGATTAGCAGATATGTCAGTCCATTCAGGATTAGGCCGATGAAACCCAGCATCATCACAGGTATTGGGAGATGCATCGGGTCCTGATGATCGATGTGAACTAGAGTTTGTAGAGCTTCCACCACCAGCGAAAAGGATAACGAGGCCAGGATAATGAACACAATCAGCATGGTTAAAATATCGATCCTGGCCCAACCAAATGTATTGCGCAGCTTCTGCTCCCGACACTCTCTTTTGGCCCGGGTTTGGGCATCCGTCTCAGCCAGGTTGACGGCTACTCCGGAGCCGCTTATCTTGGTCAGGGCGGGGGGAGCATTTTTCGCCTGGGGTGCTTGTTTACTATGCTGTAAGAGAAGAAAGCCCAAAACAGAAACTGGTTAATATAATCAGCACATGACTAAGAAGTAGGTTAAAATAGCCTTTTAATACAATAGTAGGCCGAGATATTTAAAATTTGGTATCTATTTCAACGGCGCTTTTAACTATCTTTCTGAAAAAAGGGTTTATTATTTATAAGTTTATTATTTATTTCCTGAAGAGGGTCCTACAAAGACCTGTTATACAGTTCGTACTCAAGTTACATTCATTCTTTTCTGACTTATTGTTATAAGTAATTTCCTCTTTGAATTTGGCATAACATAACTATGTATTTGAGTCTTAAGGTTTATATACAAAATTAACTTGCTTGTCCTGAAAACACTGGCATAGAAATACATAGAATCGAATGAAAAGCTTCATGCTTCGTCATGCTTTCCAAACAAATTGGATCTACCACCGAAATCTACATTTTCGGTGGGCAGCTATTTAAACGCTCCGCTGATCGTTTGTCTGTCCGGCGGCCTGCACCATTATATAAGCTCAAAATCAGACCACTCAACTGTCCACACCTACAACATAGTCAACTGTTTGAAAGCTTTCGATTTCTGGTGTTTGGAACCGTCTGAAACTCGTCGATTTTTGGCCATGTCTCGTTTGGTTTTTGCGGTTTTTGGGCCTGGTCTTTGTCTTTTGCGAAACGTGCTTGGCACGCTTTCCCATGCCGGCAACGATTTTTGCATTCGTTCAATATTAAAATATTTGCTTTGACTGCTCCATAAATTTTTAGTTGGGCATTTTGATAATGGAAGTATTCACCTTGAATTTCAATCAACAAAGAATTAGAAATATATACTTGTGGATAAATTAATATTACTAAACAAAACTAAACAAACTTATATAAAACAGCGGCTGCAGGGTCTTTGGCCGCTAGTAAACAAATAACAGAATGCAATACGATCAATTATACAAAGTTAATAGGAATCCATGAAGAATTTCTCATACCCCACCATCTCTAACCGCATTCCTAACTATCCAGATCTTACGCCATTTCACCATTTTCGCCATTTTCACGTTTTACCAGACGGCTATAAAGTGTATCTGAGTAGAGGAACTGAGGCAATAGCTACGTGTAATCAACCTGATTTCATGTCACTTCCTGCGGCAATACATTCGAGGACGTAATTACACAGCAATAGAATGAGAAGCTAAGTTTACTGATTAACCCACATAATATCGAAAGGAAACACTTCCAAGCAGATAAGATAAAAAACAGTCCAAAGGAAACCAGTTCTTCGCACAATAAAAAGGTGTTTGGAATGCGTTTTCGATACATTTTATTGTGGTCCGACTTTTAAAAGTTCAATGCACCAGCAGCTGTTTCGACTTTGCACCAGCACGCGACATTTCCTGGCCAAAAATATTTGTAAGCCGGGTAACAAAATAAGTCAAACCGCACATGCAACACAATCATTTTTTTTAAATTATACCCGCATAAATATTGTTGTTGAATATGTACCGAATACTCGTAGAGCAGAGGGTTCACTAGATTCGTTGAAATGTATCTAACATGTCATGATATGTATTCTTGATCAGGATCACTGTCCGTTCGTCTTTCGTTCTGTCTGTCCGTCCGTATGAGGATTTGATTTTGGGAACTATAAAAGGTAGAAGGTGGAAGTAAACCAGGCAATGTTTGTTTCGGACGGAATTCGACTTTAGCATTATCTTGCTACATAACTGATATATTCTTAATAGATTCTTTAGCTTGAAACAGAATAACAGACTTAGAATATTAAGAACGCCAAATAAACTTTACAAGTAAATAATCAGAAAATCATTGTTGTAAATAAAGTCTAAAATCAATAAATAAAGATACGTACTCGTATGTTTTTAAGTGCTTAACCTACCTTAATTGTGATGATGCAGCCGCCGAGTGCGAAAATATTACACAGCATGTGATGACTGGCCATGAGAAGAGTGAGTCCATGGGTCAAGTGGCTGAGGATCAGCTGGAGCACGAAGTAACAGATCGATAGCACCAGCACGGTGTACAGCGGGATCGGCTTGCACCGCTGAAGAATCTCCTTCACCGGCATTATTCTGTGGGAGAGCATCGAAAGAGCGGTGAGAAGTGATTAGTTAAATATTTGATATAAGCGGAAATGTCGGACAAAGAAGTCAGCACCTGACGCCAAGCCGCATTAGGTGTGATCTATATAAATCTATACTCAAATTTACAATTCGCGTGTTCATCGACTGACAGTCAACAGTATTGCAAAGCGGAAGATGAAAAGCCTGGCTAGACATTTACGAAATATATTTAAAAATTTCAAATTGCCTATCATTAGAGTTTATTAAAAAAAATAATAAATAAAATAAAGTTATTAATAAATCACTTCGAGCAACACAAAGGTGTTTGCTATAGTTATATTTTTGATTACAACTAAATAATCCAGCAGTAGTAAAACCTGTAACTTTATTAAGCAGTCCAACTCCAAATATTACCCCTTCGATCTGGAAAACCCTTCCGAACTGTGTCAAGTTCAAGATCCCAAAGAGGGATACTCGAACCGATCCGATTTGGATCGATACTGCCACTGAACCGGCCTGAACCTGCCATGTTTAGGGTTCAGTTCAGCCCACTCCAACCTCGTATGCAAATCACCACCGTGATCGTCGTCATGTGGGCACGGGCTTGAGCTTCTCCTGCCGCTTCTGCGATGGGTTGCATGCAAATGAAGATGCTAAATGGGATCGCTTCAACTGTGGTTACCGCAGCGTATCTCATCGAATCGATCGCCCGATCGCCTGGGACATTGACGTAATTTTACGTGATCGTGGACATATGTATAGCTACCGATTGTTTGTTGGCCGCCCCCACTCAGTTTGTTTGCCGCAATGTAACCCCAAGGTTGTGCCCCATTCGGTTGGTCATTTAAATTGCCTAAATGCCCTCTAGTCGAGTAATTACCGAGGGACATGTCGCGGCTTAATAGTCGTTTGGTTAATCCGAATAGACTATCTAAAAAACTGAAGGACCGTGCAATGACCTTTATGGTATATGTATAACTCTGATATTTGAAGCATACATGCCTAACTAAAAACAGAACCATATTATAGTTAATTTACGAGTATTTATTCCGATAAGATTTTACTGTCCTTACAAAAATCTTTCTTACAGTGGCAGAACAAGCCCACATCGTTGCTGATTTATATCTGTCTGTTCCATATGGGCTCCACTCTTAAATGCG